TTTAATATAAAAATAAAAATTATTTCTTATTAAAATTATAAATTTTAATATAGAGAGAAAATTTTAATTTTCATTATGTTTTATTAGTAAATTTAGTTCTTAGGTTGTTATTTTTGATTACTATTATATTAATTTTGATTGATACTATACAATATATAATAATTTGACAAAATATTTAAAATTTTTTTTAATTTAAATAAAAATTTATAAAAAAATAATTATTGTTTAAATAATAAAAAATATTTTATATATATATATTTTAATATTTAAAAATAAAAAAAATATATTTAGTAAAAAAATCTTAGTAATATCTTTTATAAACTTGAATTAAAATTTTAAAAATTTATTTGTTTAAAAAATTTTTCAAAAAAATTTTTATTTTTAAGTTAGTTTATTTATTAGATTATAAATAATTTTTAGAAAAATTTTGATAAAAATTAATAAAATTTTCATTATGTAATAAAGAAAATATAATTATAATTGGCATTTTGCAGAACTTTTTTATATATAAATATATATAATTTTTCTAAAAAAATAATATTAATAAATGATTTTAAGTAAACTTTTTTTTATAGATATTAAAATATATATATATTAATTTTTATGCAAATTTAATTAGTTATTACTATGTAATTGCTTTTTAAATTTGTCCAAATATTTTTTCAAATCACAATATATAATAAAAATTATTTTTTAATAAAAAAATCTCTTTATATAAATCAGATTTTTAAATATATAATTATAATAAGTTTAAAAATAAATAATTAAAATAAGTTTAAGAAATTTTACAAAATTTATTTATTAATAAAAGTACAGTGGCCATCAAAAGTAATGCAACGCTTAAATTTTTTACTAATTATAATTAGTAAAAAATTTAAGCGTTGCATTACTTTTGATGGCCACTGTATATTAAATAAAAATAAAATATAAAAAATAAGAAAAATAAATATATCTTTAATCCTATTCAAGATAATATAATAAAAACTTATTACCAATATATGTTTTATAAGCCATTTTTACAATGTAAATTTGTAAAATCAATTGTGCAAATCACACAAATCACTTTATAACCAATGAATTCAGCAAATTCTGCAACAGGGACATCGTAATTTCAAGTTTTCTAATATGTTGTTATAAAGCTTATTTTTAAGAATAAAAAAATTAAAATTATTTGTCTTTTTTATAGAATTCAAATATTCAAATAGATTTCAGATTTCGTTATGCTTTAAGTTTCTTTTTTCTCATTATATTAGTATAGTTAATAAGATAGTTTAATTTTATTATAATTTTAAAATTTAATTTAAATTTATTATGTTTCAAGTTTTTTATTAATAAATTCTACTTGGATATAACGTATATATGCATACATATATATATATTTATTCTCTGTTCTTCGAAGTAACATGTGATCTGATATCGATATATTCTTTTCTCAAGTTCCACTGTGAAATTTCATTTGAATTAATTTGAAGAAGATAAACAAAATTAAAATTTTCTTTAGGCCGATGATAAGCTAAAAATAGATATATATACACATATAGTTTACGCCATAATAAATGATTTACGAAACATAAATAAATAAATATAATAAATTAACCCATTCTTACATAGTTAAGGTAAAACTTTCTTGTGTTTGACAACACAAGAACATCATGCAAAATACCCGAAAAGCAATCACCCCCGCTTTTAATGTGTATCAGAATTTAATTATAAAAGAAAGTCACATTAAATTTGTCTAACGCTTGGGAATAATAATTTTGTTTCTCAATCTTTTTTGTTCGTTTGTTCGTTATCCTTTGCTCCTCTTCCTTTATAAAATCGCAGGTCGATTTATCATAATTCATCAATCAATCTTTTCTTTCTCTATTTTTCTTCATCATCATCTCTATAAAACTTCACCAATCAATCAAACAAACAAACAATCATACTAAATTGTTTATATAAATATCAGGAGCAAGAATATATTTTATTTCATTCATCACGTACACTCTCTCTAAAGCAAACTACAAAAGGATTACAAAAAAAAACCAGTTCCTCAAAAGTTTACCTCTCACGAAATGTCGGCTGCTGTCACCGTCACTACGACACCTACCGCTACAAGAACCGTTAACAACGACGTTAACAACGACGTTAACAACAACAGCAATAACAACAACAACAATAACAACAACAACGACGATAGTACTGATAATACAACTGCTGGTTCTCTTCCACAAAATAATGCTGCAGTCAATGACGACGCTTTTCCAACCGTTACTATAATCGATAATGGAAAAAAACTATCAATGGAACAGAGAGTTGCTTGCGGCTGTCTGCCTGAGCGAACGGTCGTCATTGCTATTTTCTCTGTTTATTTCGTAAGTGGAATTTCAACGCGGGATTATTTTTATCACGCATTATTATGTATTTTATTAATGAATGATAATTATTTTTTTTTTTTTTTTAGTTTTTAGGAATAGTTAAAACAGCTGCTTGCATTTCCGACTTCGTATGTATGTATTGTTTTAAATTTTATTGTGCAGTTTGTAAAATTGAATTGTGATAAATTGAATTCTAATGTTGCGTTATAAAAAAATGCAAGTAGTTACCCAGTCAGTACCGGATCAAGCATACTATATAATATCCGGTATCGTGGCATTCTTACTCGCGATTTCTAGTGTTATTGGAGTGAACGCATTGTACAAAGTATTTAAATTTATTTCTTTCAATAAATAAATTATTTCTTTCTTTTCTCGCTTTCATATAACACTAATAAAATTAATAAATAATATAGGATAAAGTTATTGTGATGCGTCGTTTATCGATCGTTTTCATAATTCTCACAGTAATCATGCTCATCACAAGCCTCGTAAATCTCTCGGTTGACATTTCAACTCGAGATCAAATCGTAGATAGCTGTTACAGTGCAGTAGAACAATCACAAGATGCCAATACAATCGATTGTCGGTATCTCGTGAAACTTTATCTGATTAGAGAAAGCATAACCTTGTTCTTGCTTGGGATAATCCAGGTAAAATTATAATTTTTCATTTTCTTTATTTTCATTCACATCTACTAGAGGTCTTAACTCATCGTATGTCCTTTCAGACTTACTTTGCTTATGTCGTGCTCCGTCATGCGCGTTCAATGGGTGGTAATTCTCAGTATCCATATCCTCTCGCGAATAAGGAAGGTGACGACCTTCCACCAACTTACTTTGTCTATGCATCGCAAGGCGTGCCAACCGCCGATAACTGGGTACCACCTCCAACCTATAATGGAAATCCTAATAATATTCCAGTGACCTCGGATGTTAAATATGCAGAGAATGCTGCGAATCATGCTTAATTCCGCTTATTATTGTCTATCTATCAAAGCAATATTTTGTGTTATAGTTAATGGAAATGGGTAGCAAATATTATAAATATTATTTTATATTTACCATTTCCTTTTTTTTCTTGTGGTTTCGACAATGTAGATATATAAAAGTATTTATTACGTAAACGTAGTGATATATAATTATCCTGTTTTATAAACAAATTTTTGAGGAGCATACATTTTTTTATCCCTCGCGTAAATAAATAAAATTGTACCATTTAATTTAATTAGAATCATGATTAATATGCCAGTATAAATCATCAACGTTTTAAAATCACCTAGCTTTTGCAAAGGTTCATTTTCGTAATGTTTTTGACGCATAAACAATTTTATATAACACTCAGTCATAAAGAAACCAATGCCATCAACCAACGAAAGCAAATATGTTATAGAGGTGTGGGCGGAAAACCTTGAGGAAGAAATGGCTGTCATGCGTGATTTGGTTGAGCAATATCCTTGCAATGGTATTATCGAATAAACAAAATTTCCACTCTCTGTATTTTCCCGTTGCTCATCCACTTGTTTCTCTCGCGATTCGCCCTCAGCACGTTTCGATTTACAAAGGTTCCTTAGATTAATAGTAATAACTTTTTTTACGTATCATTTATTTAGGATACAAATTGGTGTTGCTGACCAATTTGGCAATTTCCGTACAAGTCCCGATTATCATTATCAGACGCTTCGATGTAATGTCGACTTGTTGAAAATAATTCAGTTGGGACTGACGTTTTTAATTTAGCGTGTGTTTATTATTTATTGGTATGTTTGGAAACTCATAAGAGGGTGTGTTATTCTCTGCGATGCTTCATTTGTTGGTGATGTTTATTGGGTCTCCAATTCGATCTTTGATTTTTTTGTTCAGAGATGATATATGTACGCTCAAGATTCCATTGACTTATTGTTAAAGTCTGGCATAGATTTCAAAAAACACGAATCTTATGGTATAGAACATTTTGGAGAATTATTGATTTATTCTGGATTTGTAATCTTGGACGATGTTAAATGGATATTTTTTCACAGGTAAAGATTCACCTTTGTTAGAGAAATCAGATATTTAATTACCTTAAAAATTCTACGGATATTGTCCTAATAATTTTTTTCTTGATTATGACTTTAGATATCTGCTAAAATTGCTCACATGTCCACCACTGCTAGCCGAAGAGGCAGAATTTTTCGATCTATTAAGAACATATTTTCCCTGTATATACGATATAAAGCCCTAAAGGGTGGGTTGCAAGATATAGCTGATGATATGAGGGTAGGTGATCTGATTAATCTTTTAATCTATAACTAAATGATATGCATCTATTTATATCAATATGTTAATATTATTTATTTTGATAATGAACATACAGGTAACTCGAATTGGACCACAACATCAGGCTGGTAGTGATAGTTTGCTTATAGCTTCAGTGTTTTTCAAAGATGCGTGAAGTTTATTTTAACGATAAGATCGATGATTCAAAATACTTGTACGACTTTTTTTGACAAGTTTTTGTGTTCACGACACTTGTCCATTAATATTAATAACAATCAAATATGTTAATAATTATACGGTTTGGGAGTTGGATCGTTAACCACACCTAACGTTGCAAATATGACGCTTGCATCACTAGTTTCCAACAACAACAACAGCAACAACAATAATAATAATAATAGCAATAGCAACAACAACAGCAACAGTAATAGCAATAGCAATAGCAGCAATAATAATAATAATAATGATGATAGTTTGCTTACAGCTTCAGTGTTTTCCAAGATGCGTGAAGTTATGTCTCGCGTAAATAAATTGATTGTTCTATTTAATTTAATTAAAATAATAGAATCATGATTAGTATATTCCGGCCAATCAAAAATTATGCCCTTCTTTTAAAGTATAAATCATCAACGTTGTAAAATCGCCTAGCTTTTGCAAAGGTTCATTTTCGAAATGTTCGTTGTTGACGCGTAAACAATTTTTATATAACACTCAGTCATAAAGAAACCAATGCCATCAACCAACGAAAGTAAATATATTATTAAAGAGGTGTGGGCGGAAAACCTTGAGGAAGAAATGGCTGTCATGCGTGATTTGGTTGAGCAATATACTTATCTTGCAATGGTATTTTTCCCAATAAACAAAATTTCCACTTCTGTATCTTCCCGTTGCTCATCCACTTGTTTCCCTCGCGATTCGCCCTCAACACGTTTCGATTTACAAAGGTTCCTTAGATCAATAGTAATAACTTTTTACGTGCCATTTATTTAGGACACAGAGTTCCCTGGAGTTGTTGCCCGACCAATTGGCAATTTTCGTACAAGTTCCGATTATCATTATCAGACGCTCCGATGTAATGTCGACTTGTTGAAAATAATTCAGCTGGGACTGACGTTTGCGGACAGTGAAGGAAAAGTCCCGCAGGATATTTGTACGTGGCAGTTTAATTTCAAGTTTAATTTAGCGTAAGTGTGTTTATTATTTTATTGGTATGTTTGGAAACTCTTAAGAGGGTGTGTTATTCTCTGCGATGCTTCATTTGTTGGTGGTGTTTATTGGGTCTCCAATTCGATCTTTGATTTTATTTGTTCAGGGATGATATGTACGCCCAAGATTCCATTGACCTATTGTTAAAGTCTGGCATAGACTTCAAAAAACACGAAGATTATGGTATAGACGTAGAACATTTTGGCGAGTTATTGATTAGTTCTGGATTTGTATTATCGGACGATGTTAAATGGATATCTTTTCACAGGTAAAGATTCACCTTTGTTAGAGAAATCAGATATATATTATCTTAAAAAAATTCTATGGATATTATCCTAATAATTTTTTGCGTGACATAGTGGTTATGACTTTGGATATCTGTTAAAATTGCTTACATGTTTACCACTGCCAGCCGAAGAGGCAGAATTTTTCGATCTATTAAAAACATATTTTCCCTGTATATACGATATTAAATATTGCATCAGAACTTTCAAAGCCTTAAAGGGTGGGTTGCAAGATATAGCTGATGATATGAGGGTAGGTGAACTGATTAATCCTTTCATGTATAACTAAATGATATGCATCTATTTATATCAATATGTTAATATTATATAATGAACATACAGGTAACTCGAATTGGACCACAACATCAGGCTGGTAGTGATAGTTTGCTTACAGCTTCAGTGTTTTTCAAGATGCGTGAAGTTTATTTTAACGATAAGATCGATGATTCAAAATACTTGTACGCCTTTTTTTGACAAGCTTTTGTGTTCACGACACTTGTCCATTAATATTAATAACAATCAATATGTTAATAATTATATGACAGAGGTTTCTTATACGGTTTGGGAGTTGGATCGTCAACCACACCAAACGTTGCAAATATGACGCTCGCAGCACCAGTTTCCAACAACAATAATAGTAATAGCAACAGTAATAGTAATAGCAATAATAATAATATTAGCAATAACAACAGTATTTCGTTAACAGATGGTGTGCCTCAATCAGCTACACCTCCACCACAATTACCGCCTCCCACATCTTCATCAACGACGACGATTACAGCATCTACAAATGGCAAAATAAGTTTACTCCGAGAAACATCAAGTCCTAATAACGTCACCATTACTAACAGCGTCACCATTACCAATAACAATAACGCCATTAGCAATAACAGCACTAATAATAATAATAATAATAATAATAATAATAATAATAATAATAATAATAATAATAATAATAATAATAATAATA